AGTGCTTAGTAAAGGTTTAAATTTGAAGCCCTTCACCGACATACGGAGACGTCTCTATATGAATGAAAAAACAACATACAATCAATTAACAATCAACCTCCCCAACACCAGAACTCCTGATCCTTAAGTCACAAATTTAGGCAAAGGCACTCTTGCTCATCATAACCATGCATTGAGAATGTCTGCTAGATACCAAGGGGCAGAACGGAAGATTATCAAAGAAACATTTCATATTCATTATTCAACACAGCCCAAACCTAACACCAAAAGTCTTGGCAAATGGGCTATGAATTTTAAAATTTTGGATGGACAAGCATTGTTCGTAATTTCAATGCACAAGGTTTATCTGCTAAAAACCCAGGATCAGAGAAGAAGATTTTACAAGAGAAAATGTATTTTATATATATAATCCATAGAACACTGCTCTAACAAGAAGAACCACTGACCAAGGGACCACGAAATTCACAATTTTGAATGAGAAATCTAATCAAAATAATGTATTTTATTTGTTTGCTAAATATGCAGGAGTAGAGGGGAAATTTTTCAAAGAAATAATGCATTTTACTACATTTTCATTAGAGCCCCACCCCAAACCGAACAAATTTCACAATCCTGCTTTCATTACTATGCACTTAGTATATCTGCTAAATATAAAGGAGCAGAGAAGAAGATTTTCAAGGCAATATTGCATTTTCACTCTATAAGCAATAGAGTCCCACCCAGACACAAGAACCTCTGATCTAGTGGCCATGAAATTCACATTTTTCGAAGAGGTATCTTAGTTCATCATAACTACATATATCAATTTTTTTGTTGCTTTATACCAAGGAGCAGAGAAGAAGATTTCTAGAGCAATTATGCACATTCACTATCTGATATAAAGAGGCACATCCTTACTCCAGAACCCTTCACCCTGGGACTATTAATTTTTTAATTTTGGTAGAGGACTCAATGCTTACAGTGCTTATAACAATAATGCCAACAATTTGACTGATCGATGTCCAGGAGTAGAAAAGAAGATAATCAAAGATAGCATTAATTTTGGTGGTTTTAGCCCACCTCCCAGGATCGTGAAATTCACAATTCCTTTTGTTTCCCTTAAACCATAGATGCTGTCTGCCAGAATTGGTTGAAATTGGCTCACCGGTTCCATAGATTGATTATTATTGTTTAACGCCGAGTCGGCAATATTTCAGCCATATTTCGGCGACCGGTTCCATAGAAGAGGCTGAAAATGTTAAAATGTTAACGCACGACGAATGGCGCACGATGCACGACGACCGGACAAAAACTGATAGCAATAAGTCACCTGAATGATTCAGGTGACCTAAAAATAGGACAAAAATACCTTATATTTGTACATTTAAGGTTCTTCAAAGACCAAGAGAGGGATGAGGTGGGTTTTCTAATAGTGATCAATAACTATTGATAAGATATCAAGTACTTAATAAATTATTTTGCAGATCCCTGATTATCCTATTTTCTTGCTTTTGGGCACAAAATTAGCTTAATTTTTTTTATTATACATGTACTTCAATGTATGGATTGTTTACTGTTTGCATTATACTCAAGTAACCACAAAGGCTCTTGGGCCTCTTGGAAAAGATTAAAAGAATAAGATCTTTGAAAACACAGAGCGCAAGCTTGTTTGTCTGAGATTTTCATACACAAATCGAGCATGAAATCTGTAAATTTGGAAGATTGACTTGTTTGCAATCTGTCGTTTATGTACCTAAATATTGATTAAAATCTTATCAAGGATGAGAAAATTTAGAAACTGGCAAAATTTTATGACTTTCCTGCGACCCTATCGGTGAATATCAATACTTTTTGGGAAAAAAAGACGACAACAGGTGTAAAATTGTGAAGTCTTGAATCTATCAAAATCTAAGAGACATGGCCCCCAATGCTTGGGCAAAAAGGGCACTAAGCCTATTATATCATTTCACTATTTCTAAGATCAAAATTTAAAAGAGGGTGTGACTTTTCATTTGATTTTAACAAACTTGAATCTCCTCCTAAGGATGCCTTACAGCAAAATTGGTTGAATTTGGCTCGAGTGTTCTAGAAAAGAAGCCAAAAAATGTAAAAGGTCAACAAACATATAGACAGAAAGACTTTGATTAAAATAGGCTCATTACACCATTAATGATCACTTTTTAGCTCAACTAAACCGAAGGCTCAAGTGAGCTTTTCTGATCACTTTTTGTCCGTCCGTCCATCTGTAAACTCCTCACATTTTCGACTTCTTCTCAAGAACCACTGGGCCAATTTCAACCAAACTTGCCACAAAGTATCCTTGGGTATAGAGGATTCAGATTTGTTCAAATGAAGGGCCACACCCTTTTCCAAGGGGAGATAATTAAAAATTAGTGAAAAATTAATAACAACTTTTAGAAATTTTCTTCTCAAGAACCACTGGGCCAGGAAAGATGAAACTCATGTGGAAACATCCTTAGGTAGTGACAATTCAAGTTTATTCAAATCATGACCCCCGGGGGTGGGGCGGGGCCAGAATGAAGGAACAAAGTTTTACATAGAAATATATAAGAAAAATCTTTAAAAAATCTTCTTCTCAGGAACAGCAAAGACTTGATTGGTCATATTTATATGGAAGCATCCTTAGGTAGTGAAGATTCACGTTTGTTCAAATCATGACCCCCGGAGGTAGGGTGGGCCACATTGGAGGATCAAAGTTTTACATAGAAATATATAGGAAAATATCTTCTTCTAAAGAACTGCAAAGCCATGATTAGTCATTTTGATATGGAAGCATCCTCAGGTAGTATAGATTCAAGTTCGTTAAAATGAGACCCTAGTGGATAGGGTCAGGCCACAATGGGCCATCGAAAATTTTACATGGGAACATATAGGAAAATATCTTCTTCTCAAGAATAGAAAATCATGTTAAGGCATTTTGATATGGAAGCATCCTCAGGTAGTCTAAATTCAATTTAGTTCAAATGATGACCCCTAGGGGTAGGGTGGGGCCACAATGGGGGATCGAAAGTTTTACATAGGAACATATAGGAAAAAATTTTCTTCTCAAGAACAGAAAAGCTATGTTTAGTCATATTGATATCGAAGCATCCTAAGGTAATGTAGATTCAAGTTTGTTCAAATGATCACCCCTGGGATAGGAAGGAGCCACAATGGGGGGTCATATTTTTACAATGGAATATATAGGATTTTTTTAAAAATCTTCTCAAGTACAACAAAGCCATTTGTTATATTGGCATAGAGGCATCATCAGGTAGTTTAAAATTCAAGCCCCCCCCCTTTAATCTTTTCAATACTGAACTGATTTATGCTTTTACCTAGCCAATGTGCTCAGGTGAGCGATGTGGCCCATGGGCCTCTTGTTTGTCGTAATGTAACTTATTCTTAGCAATATTAATACTTTTTTTTCTCATTTCTTATTCTATTCTCTTGTAAACCTTCAAGCATTTTCCGTGTACATTTCCTTGTTAAATTTTGCATCCACATTGTGCTCCTATTTCTTTTATTGAAACCAGAAATCTCTGACAAGTGACAAGACTGGAGCTCTACTGGTTTGTTCTTATATTAAGGAAGAAAAAAAATCGTCGAATTTTTGGGTTTTTCAAATTTTTTAAAGGTGCTTTAATGCATAATGTAACTTATTCTTAGCAATATTAATACTTCTTTTTTCTCATTTCTTATTCTATTCTCTTTAAACCTTCAAGAATTTTCTCTGTACATTTCCTTGTTAAATTTTGCATCCACATTGTGCTCCCATTTTCTTTATTGAATCCAGAAATCTCTGACAAGTGACAAGACTGGATCTCTACTGGTTTGTTCTTAATATATTAAGAAAGAAAAAAAATCGTCGAATTTTTGGGTTTTTCAAATTTTTGAAGGTGCTTTAATGCATAATAAAGATTTGTCTATAAATGCCAAATATTTAATTTGTTTTGAAATCTGAGGACACATTTTGTAGATATCAGCTACTTTCGTTTTTCAGTAAAAGTCAAAGTACTGTAAAGTACCGAAATGTCATTTTCCAAATATTCCCTGTATTTACTTGCATGTAGTTAGTACATACATGTTTAACTATAAGCAAAAAATTAATGCATGCAATATCATATATAAGGATGGGTTCGCCGTTCTATGTAGCCCATAAGGCGGCTACTATAATCCTGCAGAATTCTATTTTAGAGTTGATTTAATAGTAAACCGTTAAGTATTTTCGAATTAATGAGAATGTTGCCAGGGGTTTTAAAAACTTTGATTCGATTGAATTAAAAATCAATGTACAATAAGTACTGAAAAAACATTTTTTGATACTTCCATTTTTCCCTTACATAGTATATACACGTACATGCATGTTTTTCTAGACAAAAAAATGAATATATACACTATTTAAGTCACGAATTCAGTAAGAATCAAAGTTCCGTTAGTACTGACAGGACTTTTCTAGATAATCCCTATTTTTTCTTCTACTAATAAATACTGTACGTGTTTCTGTACATACAAAAAAAAAAAAAAAAAAAAAAAAAAAAAAAAAAAAAAAAAAAAAAAACAATGCACACAATTTCCTACTAGAACGGAAGACCTATTTGTTGCCAAAGCAACAAGTTTCTAGTTCACTGTACTTTTTGTGACAATGAGATTACAATTTTATTAGCACTAGAGCCCCTGTCACACCAGGGCTGCGTTCCCAAGAGTTGGCATGATACAGTTAAATTTCTGGAACACCATGGAATATAAGGACAATACAATGAAATTTTCATAGACAAAATGTCACGGCATCCTGACGATGGCCGTTCGCCCATAAGGCGGCTACTATAATCCTGCAGAATTCTATTTTAGAGTTGATTTAATAGTAAAAGTTTAAGTTTTTTCCAATTAATGAGAATATTGCCAGGGGTTTCTAAACTTTACCACATCTATGAATTCGCTTTTATCCGTGTACGAACTCAGCAAATTTTACTGCATTATCTAATTTCTTTTAACAACTTTGAGTTTTTGAATGTACTAACATGGACTCTTTGGTTCAAAACGACTCTGACATTGAGTAGTGGTGAAGTCCTGGCAAGAGTGTGAGATAGTAGAGAAGAGCTGAGGGTAAGGACACTCCATCAGGTAGCCCCCCAGTCTGGTGTTTCTTCGAGAACAGTTGTAGTACTGAGCGCAGTTAGCCGGATGTGGAACAATACTACCTGGGTTACCTTGGCAATATCTTTCTCCTTTATATAGAATAAATAAGAATAGTAATATTAACAAATAAATATTCCAGTGAAATGAAAGTTGAATGAAGTGAAAAGTATATTTGTAATGATCACTTGCCTGGTCGTAAATGGCTATCACACTCTCTTTTCACTGGATTGAACACACCTGATTTACAAGAGTTAACCTCAATTGTTCTGTTCCTGTAACACAGAATGTATTTCACCGTCCACAGATAACCCGCAAAAGAGTTAAATCCATCAGGTAGTCCAACACAGCTAGGGAGACGTGTCGAACAGGGAGCACAATCCATACCTTTACTGCTGCACAAGTTCTGTCTGTATTCACCTGTTCATCACATGAAAATTGGCAGGTACATTATATAAATTAGAGAAAGGGTCTATTTTTTGTGAAAAATGAGCATAAGGTAAAAAAGACGCTTCATTTTCTCTCGGACTGAAATGTTACACTTTTATGTTGATTTAAACATGACATGTCAACAGGACTTTCAATAATTTTGAAGTGAAGAGGTTAATTTGAATATTGTGTGGCAGTTGGCTATTCTTCTGTGTCTGGAAATATGACTCTTAGCAGTCTCGATATTAAAAAAAATTATTACTGTGTACAAGATGGTCTTGTCTTCGAGAGAATAAATCATTCAATGGGTTTGTTTGTGACTGTCCAGATAAATATATCGAGTTGATCTATCTCAATGGTTGAGCGTCGCCTTTCCGTGTAGAATTGATCAACTCAATATATATTTCGATAGACAGTCAGTAACAAACCCAACTAAAGGTATTTTGAGCGAGATTACAAAATGAAACCCCTGCTGCTTTTTTAAGTTCCCATATACATTCTTAAACCTAGAATTACGAGAATATACCAAAATGACCTTGTTAAAAAATTATTAAAATAAACCTTCTTTTCATAAGTAATATTTAAGGGAATATGGACACCCAGTGATCCTTCATTAAAAAGTTATAGATCAGACATGAATTTTACACTTTTTCTGCCAGTACCCTTGCACTGACACGGTGACCTTAATGAAAATCATGACATACCTTAAGTTCACGTATGATCTTTTTTATTTGATGTTTTAACATCCGTAAGTACACATCTGAGAGTTATGACCTAAACAGAGATTTAATACTATTTCCATCAGTACCCTTGAACTTGCCTTAGGTCAAGACACTGTTTCTGTCAGTGACCTTGCACTTGATGGAATAATCTTGGGTCAGGGTCCAAGATCATGAAACAGTCTTATATTTAAGTCAATGTTTAAATGAATCATCAAATATTTATATTAAACTTGTGCTTAGATGTAACATACTAACATGTGTAATATTCTGGAATTTTCTATGTGCTATCATGTTGGTTTTGTATGTTATGTTGTAATTGTGTCTTCCGCCCAAGTATAAACCATGTGTTGATGTTTTGGCGCCTTGTTATTTTCTAATTTACCTGAAGTCAAAACAGAACAGTGGCGACGAGGATTAAAGTGTCAAGATGGCAACAGTATTTTGGAAGTTTGAAAACAAGGTGGCATTACTTAGAGCGGACATTATTTCATATTATACTACGTTTATTGCAAAGATCAAAGAGATGCCGCAGCCATTACTCTCCAATAAACCACAAACGTCATCAACAAATTATCAATAATTTTAATTCGGTTTCCTCTAATTTTGACCGACTTCATTAGGAAAAGGATAGAGGTATCTTTTGATTGTGACGCAAATTGGTGGGAAAAATACTTTGGGTTCGGATTACATCGCACTTTTACAAATGCTTAGGTACAAATGAACGAGTATAGCATTCAAATGTGACGTTACAAGACTCTCATGATGACGTCCAAATCTAGCTTCTGGATTTCTCTATATAGAAGTTTAATATTCGCCGTAGCAGAATAGAAATAATTCCCGCGTCGGAGGAATTGTTGGAGAATATAACCCTCAGTCTCGAGATTTTGTTGGCAAATAAAATCCTCGCCCTTCAGACTCGGTTTTTATTTGCCAACAAAATCTCTCGACCATCGGGGTATATTCGCCGAAGCGGAAATTATTTCTTAAGTTTATAGCATCGGTTACACCGAGAAGCAACGGTCGATTTTACTAAAGGTGTGTGGCAATAGATTATACAAGTTACAGTCATGTGTAATGAGTGACCCGTTAGCGCCAAATAAACCAGGTACTATAACTTTTAGAGAACTTTTTAAACTTGTGTAGTATCATTATGAACCCAAACCATCAGAAATAGTTGAAAGATACAAATTTCACAACCGCTTTCGCAGACAGGGTTAATCAGTGGTGTTATGTGGCCAAACTTCGTCTTTTAACAAAGCATTGTAATTTTGCTCAATCCTTGGAGGTCATGATTCTTAATCGTCTTGTTTAAAGTATCATGGATGATAAAATCCAGAGGCCTTTGTTATCAGAACAGGATTAAACTTTTAGGAAAGCATACGATATCGCCATATCAATGGAAACTGCGGTGAAGGGAGGGAGAAGTAGATCTGCAGAGTTGAACAGCACAAACAGAGAAAGTAAACAAAGTGAGTGCTGGTAACAAATCACACAGAGACGAATGTAACATGAAGTGCTTTTACTGTTACATGTTCGGGCATCTTGCCCCAAAGTGTAAGAAAAAGAAAACAGACCAAGCTGTCAACCGGGGAAAAGGAATCTCACCACACAAAACAAACAAACACTTAAAGTACAACAAAAAATAAGAGGTGCATTTCAGCAGGGTAAATGTACAAAGGTGTCAACCGAGGAAAAGGAATCTCACCACACAAAGCAAACAAACACATAAAGTACAACAAAAAATAAGAGGTGCATTTCAGGTAAATGTACATATGTATGTGATACACCTGATGATGAAAATGACCATACTGAGTAACTGAGTATACCTTGTATCACGTGGTGGAGCCTGGCAAGCAACCATCATACCGTGTGTCTTTGAATTTGAAAGAAGTTGACCAGTCTATGGAGTTTATATACTGGAACCATCAAGATTGATTAGTGAAGAAGCATACACGACTTGTGTAAATCCGACCCTCAGTTGAACTAAAACCATCATTTACAAATCTGCGTGTACTTACACTGGGGATTTTTTTTCCCCATATTGGGAACAGTGCAGCTGTCTGTGACCTATTAAAAGCGGTATAACGTGAAGGAGGAAGTAGTCAAAGGAAAACACTTAGTCGTGCTTGGCTTGATATCGTTAAAATTTGCTGCGATGAAGTATTTCTACAATCTGATGTGACTCAGGTTCTGAAGAAGTATCAAGTTTTGTTCAAAAAAGGATTAGGAACAGTCCAAGGAATGAAAGCAAAATATATGATGACCCGCAAGAAAAACATATACTTTAAAAGCTGTTTCCCTTCCTTTACATTTAAGGTGAAAATCGAACAAGAGTTAGACATATTAGTTCGTGAGGGAACTGTTACCCCTGTAGAGTTTCAGAGTGGGCGAATCCTATCGTACCAATAGTTAAAACTGACAAGACAGTCCGTATGTGTAGTGACTATAAAGTTACAGTAAACAGTGTCTAGGCTAGACAATTACCCTATTCTTCAGACAGATTATCTATATGCTATATTAGGAGGTGGTGAACAGTATTCCAAGCTCGATCTGAGCCAGGCATATCATCAATTAGAGTTGGATGTAGAGTCCAAGAAATATACCAAAATCAACACTCATAAAGGTCTTTTTCAGTACAATCGTCTACCCTTTGGAATCTCGTCTGCTCCTGGTATATTTCAGAGAACTATTGAAAATCTGCTCAAGGCATATCCAGTGTTATTGTTCGCTTAAGTGACATACTTGTGAGTGGGAAAACACATTATGAACACTCACAGAATCTTGAACAAGTGTTACAGAAGCTGGAAACAGCTGGAGTTCACCAAAAAAAAGTGTGCGTTTCTTGGCCGATGTAGTTACGTACCTTGGGCATCGCATAAACAAGCATGGAAGACAGCCAACTAAAGAAAAAGTGTGAGCTAACAAGAACTTACCTGAACCTAGTAAAATCAAAGAACTGCAGGCCTTTCTCGGAATGCTTAACTACATGTACTATTGTTGCTACTTAACAAATTTGTCAACTAAGCTAGCACCACTACATGAACTCTAAGGAAAAGATTGAATGATTGATTATTGTTAAAAGTCCCATTAGAATTTTTTCACTCACATAGTGACGTCACCGTATGCCGTTGAAGGGCTTCAAATTTAGACCTATAATCGGCACTCAGGGCCATTGAGCAGTGAGGGTTCTTTATCGTGCCAACGCCTACCGTGACACGGGACCTCGGTTATTTAAGTCTCATCCGAAAGATACGCGACTTTCACTTCTAGTGCCGGGCGCTTCACAGATAAAGATGCACCATGGTCTTGGGGTTCAAAAGATTAATCGAAGACAATGCAGAGGGCAAAAACAAAACATTTTGAGATCTTCATATCTACTTGTTCATTTTGATTCAACCAAGAAGCTTATCGTGTCCTGTGATGCCTCGCCAACCGGATTGGTTGTTCAGTTGTGTTGTCACACATTACAGAAAATAAGAATAAGATGAGAAATCAGTAGCTTATATGTCAATAACACTTGCTCCAGCAGAAAAGAACTACTATCAGTTGGAAAAAAGTACAGTGTATAGTATATGCATGATTCAAATCTTGTTATGTTTGTATGCAATGTAATTACCGTACAAAATATATGTCACTACCGTCCTTGTGTACATGATACGAAAATGACTGTTATGGAGATGAAAAAAGTTACCATTGATTTTTATTTTGATTTGTTTACTGCACTATGCTCTATATTATTACTTGATAAGTTAATATGAAAAGAGATTGATAGAACAACGATTCTTTTCAGAGCAGCAGGCTTGTTAGGAATCTACAGGAGGTCGTGTAATTAAGGTTGTAAATATGATGCAACACACGTGTTAAATAACCATCGATATATTATAACTGAATGTTGCACATTGAAATTAGATAATAAAATTCTTTAACGCCAACTGATTGCTGCAGTGAAAATTTTAATTTGAACGTAATTAACATATATCATGTTTATCACACTCAATCTCGTATTTTTATTTTTTAGCTCAGATACGCCATCTATAGTAATCAGTTGCCGAATTAACACATATGGGTGCCGAATTCACCAGATTCTGATGCCGAATTTACCAGATTCTGATGCCTAATTCACTGAGTGCCGAATTCACCAGGTGCCGAAATCACTTGTACCCCTACTTATGATGGCCAGGACTAGATGCAGATTGTGAGATGCGAAGATTTTAGATGTGAAGATTGTCAGATGCAAAGCGCTACGCCAGCAGTAGCAGTGTTACACCCCTGGAGATGGCCAGATGTTCATAGTCTAGAAAGAATGCAGATAATGCAGGACCATTTATGGAATTTATATTTTTGATCATCATTGATGCATACAGCAAGTGGATTGAGGTACAAAGGCGTCGGAACGGGGGGGGGGCGGGCTAGGGGGACTTTGCCCCCCTTTTTTTGCAAAGATAACATAATATAGGCATATAACATTGGGGCGTAGGATTAGCCCCCACTTTCAAAAGACACATAAGAGTAAGTGGTAGCGTTTGAAAAAAAAATGGTACTGAAAGAAGTTCGATCCTACCCCCCTCCCTCCCCCCCGAAATAGTTTTTTTCAGGTTTGAATTCTTTTTCTCTCTCAAATAGCCCCCCTTTCAATTTGCTTCCGACGCCCCTGAGGTATATAATACGTCTACTTCTTTATCTGAAGTGACGATTGAAAAATTCAGACAGCATTTTTACATCAGAGAATGGTATTCTCATGTGAAGACCTAACCGTACCACTCAGCATCCAATGATTTGGTCGAGCGTGCAATTAGAATTTTTAAGGAAGATATGAAGAAAATGGACAAAGGATCTGCATCGCTGATGACTAAATTGCAAAGATTTTTGTTAAATTACCGAACAATACCACAGACCACGACAGGTGTTACCCTAGCAGAACTACTCCTAAAAAGGAAATTGCGGACTTCTAGTTAGAGCCAGATTCGAGAACCAGACAGAGGAAATTCAAGCAGTAAGCATTTATTGAAAGTAACAATCGTATGTTTATAGAGCAAATTGAAGCTTTTTTACAAAACGATGCTTATCTTAACAAAATGAAATTTTAAAATTTTCCTACAGTGTATCTACATCCTTCTGTAAAACATGCTATTTCCCAACTTCCTCGAGGGCTATAATTTGAAGAAACAAGACGTGTTTGTAAAACACTGATGCCCCCTTAAGGTTAAACTTTCTCAAATGCAATCAAATATGTTGGTACCCAAAGAAAGGTCTTGTACCGAGAAATATATCTGTGAAATATGAAAGCCCTAGCAGCAACCATTTAAAACATATGGAAAAGGTGAAAGTTTTTCAAAAGGAAGTCAGGGTTTCAGATTGCCGTCGGCCATCAGCCATTTGCCGATAAAAATTCAAAATGGCCGGAAAAAATAAAATTTAACTGCCGAAATGGCCCATAAGTTTAACACTGAACAGACATAATGGCCGATTAAATTCTGTTTGTAAAGGCCGGTCATATAATTTTTTCCCATTCAGATCCGATTTATTTCTTTTACTACTCCTGCTACTGCAGATTTCATCAGCCAATGACAGACGGGTTTTAGATATTGATCACCAGATCGCTTTATGCTATTTCTTGTTGTTGATACGCTTCTTTACCATTATCAACATTGAGTAGTGGACAAGCACATGCACCGCAACTTCTTGCGGAATAAAATATTTAATGGGCAGTAACTCTGCAATTTCGGAATTAGAACTCATTTGAATGCTGTCAATGAAACTGAAGAATGAAAAAAATAATCTAAAAAAAAAGAAAAACAGAGAAAATCACACCGAAAGAGATGCGATGATTTCGGAGTACAAGGCTTAGCATTAACCGGAGGTATGACTCAAAGTCACCAAGCACAGACAAAATGTATGATCCTCTCTTTGGCCTCAGGTAGTACAGAGCTCGGAGTGAAATCAGTATGCTAGAAGAATGTTCTGTCGTTAGAATGAAAAAAGTCCTACAGACCAGACCTGTTCCGAGACACAGTTACATTATTTTAACTATTAACTGGCCTATGATTTTAAGAGGTTTAAGACAGAATGGCCTATAACTTTTCTGGTAAGTATGCCAGGTGTCCTATAGTTGCTCATTTCAATCTGAAACCCTGAGGAAGTCAAACATCAAGGTCGGAATTAATGGTGTCCAAGGAAAGGCCTTCTCGCAAGAAATACACACGTGGAATATGAAAGCTCTAGCATCAACCGTTAAAAAGATATGGCCAAGGTAAAAGTTTTTCCAAAAGGAGGTCGAACTCAAAAGTCAAGGTCAAAAGGTTAAAGTTGTTAGTATCCAAAGGAAGGTCTTCTTACAAGGATTACATATGTGAAAAAATAAAAGCCCTAGGACCAACCGTTCAAAAGATATGGCCAATGTTAAAGTTTTTTTCAAATGTTAGTCAAACTCGTAGGTCAAGGTCAAAGAGTCATAGTTGTTGGTATTCATAGGAAGGTCTTGTCACAAGAATTACACATGTGAAGTTTGAAAGTCCTATCGTCAACCGTTCAAAAGTTATAGCCAATGTTAAAGTTTTCCAAAAGTATGTCAAACTCCAAGGTCAAGGTCAAAGGTATCCAAAGAAAGTTCTTGTGACAAGGATTACACATGTGAAGTATGAAAGCCCTAGCACCAACCGTTCAGAAGTTATGGCCAAGGTTAAAGTTGTGGAAAATTTTGTAAAACTGGGTCAAACTCCAAGGTCAAGGTCAAAAGGTCACATATAATGGTACCCAAAGAAAAGTCTTGTCGCAAGGAATATACAAATGAAATATTAAAGCCATAGCTCCAACCAATCAAAAGTTATGAGCAATGTTAAAGTTTTTGCGGACAAACAGACAGACGGACGGACAGGGCAAAAACTATATACCCCCGAATCTTCGATACGGGGGCATAAAAATAACTCTACGTAGCTTGCACAGCAATGTGTCCCTTCTTGTGTCCCTTCTGTTACTTGCAGAATTTTATACATGAATTCTGTGTAACCCGCTGTCAAAATTTAACTACCTATTGTTTCTGTATCCCTCAGACACATGGGTCATGTTATGAACAACTGTGAATCTACACATGTGGTATGTCTCTGCATTATTATGACTAACCGTGGTTCTACTATTCTTGAAAAGAAGGTTTTCATTGATTTGTTCCTAAATAATCTCATGCAAAAATCAGACTCCCAATTGCGGCTCCTTCTGAGCCCAACGGGCATCATTTAAACAAACTCAAATATAAGTTAAAGGTGCTTAGACACAGATTTAAACTTAATATTTTCTCAAATTTTCTGTATAATATCACGACATTATTATTGCAATAGCATTTCACATGAAAATATAATTAAAAACTTATTTTATCTGGAAACTATTGGACCTACATGTACGAATTCCGGGACGCGTTTGATTAACACATCTTTGCACTTACACAAATTTTAACTTTATCCTTAATATTTAAGAAGCGATTTTGTTATGTATTAATGAAAAATATTACATCTATAATCCAGAAAATTCAGAGTAGAAATGTTCGAAAGCAAAACCAACTCACCAGTATTGTCAGTCCGTGCTCTGTGATGTGTACAGAGTTTAACAAATGGAACACACCCGTGAACTGTTTTTGTAAACAAGGCACGAGGTCTATGTTAATGTTTACGATTCACCGGGTGTGTTCAATTGTTAAACTCTGCACACACCACTGAGCACGGACTTACAATACTGTGAGTGGGTTTTGCTTTCGAACATTTCTACTCTGAATTGAATTTTCTGGGTTATAGTTTTAATATTTTTCATTAATACACAACAAAATTGCCACTTTTCTTAATTATTAAAAATAAAATTAAAATATGTGAAAGCACAAGAATGTGTCAATTTAATAGCGTCCAGAAATTCGAAGTTTTAATAACTTCGAGATGAAGTAAGATTTTTATTATATTTTAGTATCAAAGGCTATAGCAACATATAAGTCATGAAATTATACAGAAAATTTGAGAAAATATTAACTAAAATTCTGTGTCCAAACACCTTTAAATATATTAACATGGAATACCCCCTACAATATATATCGGTATATACAATAATCAATATAAAACCAAAGACATTATAACAAGATTCTTACATGGTGTTTGTGGTTCAGGCCTGGATTTGCAGCTGACAAAAGTAAAATTTAAGCAGTCATGTTTTTCTGTGGAATAAAGCTTAGGGTAAGGACATTCATTCAGGTAACCACCATACTTTGACTGTCGATGTGAACAGTTGAAAAACTGGGCACAATTCCAAGGTTGTGCAACAGTGACAGTTGGATAAGCTTGACAGTAAGACATCACATCAACTGCAATTACAAATAAAACATGGAATTCAAAATATAATGTTAATAAATCATACAATCTTGGTTAGGAAATCTTGCATTTAGATGTGTGACAGAAATCAGCAAAAAAACTGCACTGGCAAATGATCATGAACGGACATAACCAATTATCCACCCATTAAAATCTATGATAGCAGCTGCTCAATTAAGAATCTGTGTTTTTACATCAAGTTTTTCATTAAAAGTTTTGATATTTTTTCATTATTATTACATGCAGCTCTGTTTTCAATCAAAGTTATCTTCTTGTTGATATAAGTTTTGTACTTTTTTTACGGAGTTGCAATTAAACTGCTATATTATTACAAATACCTCCAGTAAACCAGAATACCAAACAGACAATATTTCGATTCTAAACACATCAAACCTCATATTTATTTAGATGTGATTCTTATTATTTTGATTGTGTGAAATCAAGCCAAGATTTAAGGTGGTATGCCACATTTATTTAATGATGTTAAGCGTATCACATTTGACATAAGATATCGTCATTAATAGACCATTATAAGCTTTTAATTTTTTTGAATGTTTTCTTTTGGGGGGGGGGGGGAGGTCAAAGAAAATTGAATAAATGTTTTTAATGCCAATGAGACAAGTATTAGCTACTTTGCAAAAACAGGAGTATACCTTGGATTTTCTGTCCCGATAGAATCTAGTTAAAAACAAATATATTGTTTTAATACAAATTCTTATAAATTAGTAAATTTAATGGCCCTGATTTAAGTGTTCTGTTGTTATGAAAATATACTATTTGAAAAAAAAATAGAGAAATTTATGAGTAGAAAGATAACTAGTGTGTTGTGGCTATAAATTTCTTTATATATTCGCTAGATTTTCCCTCAAAGAAAAATAAAAGGAAACAAAACTTTAGAAAATTAAAATTAGGATTAAAATATTACAAAGAGGGAGTAAACATAGTTACCTAAGTATTAGATATTAGATGTGAAATCAAAATGGGTAGGAGGTTAAAAACATACCTTCATCTGCTTCCACAGTTACTGCAGGAAGCTGAACAAAGGATAATTTGAACTACTTCTTCTTACTTTATAGTAGTACACAATAGATACATGTAGGCCAAATTCTTCCTCAAATTCAAATTTTTGGAAACTTTGAAATTTTGTTCTAGGTTACAAAATCTCTCTTTATATGTACATGTAATTTGAAAGAAATTCAACCGCACAATTTATGCCCACATAGCTTGAAAAATGGCCTATCAGCCCCTTGTAAGAAGATTGTGAAATCAGACATTGTAAGTGGTGCCAACAGATTAATTCAAGATATTATTGATTTTGCAGATAATGAAGATTTAGAAGGCGCGATAATATTTCTTGATCAACAAAAAACACTTGATAGATTAGAATGGGAATGGCTAGATTCTACCTTGAAAAATTTAATTTTGGAAATAAATACTGTAACTGGATAAAAATGTTGTTAAGAAATGAGAAAACTTGCATTAAAACAAATGGGTTCCTATCCAAATATTTAACAATTATATCAAGGTCAGCAAGACAAGGTTGTTCTATAGCTCCCTTGTTACATGTATTACAAATAGAGCCATTGGCTTGTGCCATACGCCAAATTTCAAACATTAAAGGTATACATATTCCTAACAATATCCAGCATATTGAATGCAAAATCAATATGTTTGCGGATGATACACAACTTTTTAATAAGGATGAAGAATCTATAGAAGAATCCTTTAAAGTTTTAGAAATATATGAAAAGGCATCAGGAGCAAAAAATTTTTTTTTTGCTAAAACAAAGGGTTTTTACATTGGGAAATCAAAGGGTAAAAATTAAACCTAAATTTAATAAAATTCAGTGGACAACAACAAATGTTAAAACTTTAGGTGTTAATCATGGATATGATATTGACATAAAGGCTATTTGGATGGAAAAAATAGAAAAAAAATTACCAATTGTCGTCATGTTTGGAAAACTAGAAATTTAACATTTAAAGGGAAAACACTAATAATTAAAAACCTAGTGCGCGCGCGTGCAATGCGTAAAAATGATAGATATACTCAATATAGCCGATTTTTTAAAATCTTTTGATGAAATTTGAATAGAAAGATGTTTAAAAGTGTAGACAAGTTGACATGGTCATTTTGTACATACACGCACGTGCGCGCGCGTGTAATGCGTAAAAAACCAATATACTTGATTACCTTATTTAGTGAAGCTTACAGGGAATAAGACACCAAAAGGGAGTTTGGGAGCGTTTGGGGAACATCTGTAACGGTCCCCGTTACAAATAATACTAGTTGGATATGAAATTGAAATGAGAGGCATACCAAATATTTATAGTAAAAAGATAAATGACATTATCTAGTCTTATATATGAGATCAGAAAGTAAACAAAGTAGATGGGAATGTTTGCTGCCTCAATAAAGCTGGGGGAGGATTGGACATGGTTAACTTATTTACATTAATGAAAAATAAGCTAATTAAAACAATATACAAAATTATGCACTCTGGACTATGCACTCAGTTTCTGAACTTGAAAACTGGAATGCTATAGGAAAACTCTGGTTACAAAGTAAAGACTTTCATCCAAAACAGGAATATTTTTTATGCACCTGTTCTGACCTTTCCAACATTTCTCTAAATAAACTTTCTACATTTTATAAAAAGTGCATTATCAGCATACAGTAAATTCAGATCGAATTTTTTAACCAGAAAGCAAAGATGAAATTTTAAAGTGCCAGATTTTTGGAAATAAATATATACAATTTCGAGGTAAAAGTCAATATATAGAGTCTTTCATAAAAAGTGGCTTACACACTGTTGATGATATTGGGATAAAGATAGTCTTTTAAGACTAATGCATACATAATTACAAAACTTCTTGATAAAAGAAGTTGGGTTTTTGAATATAGCAAGATAAAAGCCGCCATACCTAAAAATTATATTGATATTCTTGCAGGGAGAAATACTGCAAATACCAGTGATAAAGAAATATAAGATAACTATTTTGTGTTGTTTGATAATTTCTTAATTGTTAGGAAAACAAATAAGTTTATAAATTTTGATGATATAAAACTCAAAGACCTACAAAGAGTGTTAAACAAAAATGTTACTCCCAAATCTCAAGAAAAATGGGAGAATTTGCTGTAAATTGACAATACATGGGAAATAATTTGGGGGTCAACTTACGAGGCTAAATTAAAACAAAAAATTCAAGAATTCCAATGGAAATGTTTGCATAATATCTTATACACCGAGGAAAAACTATGTATAATGGGTTTATCTAATGGCAAATGCCATTTTGTGTAAAGCAAATATTGAGAGCCAGAAGCATTTATTTTTTTAATGTAAACACGTCAAACCAGTTTTAGAATTGGTACAAAGAACTAGAGCGAGCTCGTTGCAAAGCAACGAATAGGTCTTCCGTTGGAGCTGCGGAAGGAAGAAGTGACCTTGAGTCAAGGTCATGCCACATTCTAAAGTTATACATGTAAGCAATCTTGTAAGGGGAAGCAACTTACAATATTTCGCTAGGAAAAACTGTAAAGGAATGTACGTGACCTTAAACATTCCAAATGCCTTGCGTCAAACCATGACACACTGTAGTCATAAAACCCAATCTGTGTGCTACCGACTTGAAAAGTTCACAGTGACACGTCATGTTTTTTTAGTCCATACATACAGTCAAAACCTCTTATCCTTAGTGACCTTGAACTTGAGTCAAGGCCATGTCACACTCTGCATGATACCAGCAATGTTTCACTAGTACAAATACGGTAGTGACATTACAGTTTCTCTGTCAGTGACCTTGACTCGACCAAATGACCTTGCATCAAGACCATAACACACACTGGTTAAAAGCAATCCCAGTCTGTGAGTTTCTGAACGGATAAGTTCAGCCATGTTTTTTCAGATCATACAGCGAGTCGGAATAATTTGTTAGGTTCAACATAATGATTAAAAAATTCATTGAGAATGTTTTATGCCCAGTTTGGATAAGTAGTAAAACGTGGAGAGCGATCCTTTGGATGAGACCGGTGCTTGTGGACAGGACCACCCCCCCCCCCCCCAATATACACCCCGGGGTCCAAGAATATTTTTATTCGTCTTTTTCCATAAATTAATCTTCTAGTACACATTTACAATGTATTCCATATGAAAAATCCATAAAAATAACGTAGAATTAACGTTTTATTAAAAAACCATACCCGCGGTATTATGAAATAGAGAAGGTAAGTCACTTCCATTTGTTAACACTGGACCCCTCTTGGATATCGGGCCTAAAATATCATATACATGTACCTACCACATGTCACCAAAATATGTTATTATATCTTGTTTCATCGTCGCAAGCCACGGGTTTTGTGTCCATTCTATTTCCACAAACCCGTGGCTGCCTCCTTCAAATTTCTCTCGTTCTCATGAATATTAATAACATACATTCAACCAATGGAATAACATCTGACGCTTCAAGTCAGAACCAATGAAAATGATCAGTCTATCTTGTATTTGGATGTAACCATAACCACGAGCTGTACATCAACTTCGGTTCGAATTTCCTTTCTTAACGAGTAACGCTATTCAGCGTTCTCACACAACGTCTACATTCGAAACCCTGTATTTTAATGTAAAACCTTGTAAGTATTTTAGAATATACGTTACTCACATCTGTTCTTCAGGATCTATCGTATTTTTTTTCAATAAATCTGCCACGCATATCAAACATGATTTCATTATGGGCGCCGCCATTTAAGCGTACCAAAAATTGCTACAGAGTGATTTCATTGGTCAGGGTAAATCTGGTGTCACTTAATAAATATTCAATGATTCAGTCGCGAGAACGAGAGAATTTGGTATGAGGCAGCCACGGGTTTGTGGAAATAGAATGGACACAAAACCCGTGGCTTGCGACGATGATCTTGTTTCGGTATATATTTTTGTCTTTAATCGTGCTATTTAAACAGAAGACCTTAAATAGTGTCTGTGTTTGTCACTATTTC